TATACATTGTATATTGACAAAATAAAAATTAAAAAAAAAAAAAAAGAAAAAAAGAAAAAAAAAGAATTGAAATCATATAGTGCGTGTTCTCTGACTGCAATAGAATTAAACTACAAATCAATAACAGGCAAATAATAGTAAAATCTCCAAATTAAATTAGAAATTAAATAACATACTTCTAAGTAATCCATAGGTCAAAGAAACTGTAAACCACCCAAAGGTCCTAGGGTGGGTGAATGGATAAACAAAGTGGTGGATCCATACAATGGAATACTATTCATCAATATAACAGAGCAAACTATTAATTCACACAACAACTTGAGAGAATATCAAAGGCATTATGTTAAGTTAAAGAGGCCTGTCTCAAAAGGTTACATGTTCTATGACATTCTTGAAAGGACAAAACCATAGTGATGGAAAATAGATCAGTGAGTAGAGTTAAGTTGTGACAATAAAGGAATAATATAAAGGAGATTTATTAGGCAGTGGAAACTGTTCTGTATCTTGATAGTGGTGGTGCTTACATGAATTTCTACATATGTTAAAATTCATTGAACTCTACGCCAGGAGGAAAAAGGGGATTTTATTGTACGATAATTTTAAAATAGACTTAAAAACTCAATTCTCATGGTGCTTCACTAGCCTCCAGGATGCAGCACACACTTCTTAACATGGATTACAGGGCCCACCCTGGGTAGCTCCTCAACAACAGGGATGTTTCCCCTAATAAAACCTAAGAATGTCATTTTATGAGGGTAGGCTGAAATGTGGTTCTGAGTGTCACAAATGTTTTGTCCCTAAATAAGAGACAGTTTTTAGTATTGGGAAGTCAAGTACTTGGAAAACCTGAGTTTTCACCCTGGTATAGCATGTTGTGGAATTCTGGTCTAGTGAAGCCTCAGTTGCCTGCCTCTGTGATTAATGTGATTAATAACTGGCTCCCCAGGGTCACTGTTAGTAGGGAAGAAATTGGGTCTAACCAATTTTGCATCTGAAGAGAATACCCCTTCCCACCTCAAACCCTTCTGGAGGGGAGAGGAATATGTGATGTATGTGTTGGGGGAACAGATTATCTTGTCAAAGTTTTTTGAGGTGCTTTATGCATCTGTCTGGCTGAGCTGTACTCCATCCCACTTCCCCTCTCTAGTAACGTTCATTTAACTGAGATCTGTATTCTGCAGAGAATTGTCTTTTAGAATAATTACAGTGGCAGGTATTTCCCCACAGAATTGTCATGAGTTGCAGCTAGGTTTCAAAATTCTTCGTGGTAGCCCTTGTAGTGTTATAATCAACCCTGATGGAGATTCTTGGATTGTGCTGCTGTTGTCCTCCCTCATCTGCCATCCCGACACATGGCTTGTTTAGATCTTGGATGACCACCTGAGGCTGCCCCTGCCCCTATTTCCACCACCACTCACTTTCTCCCATGCTGAGGTAAATGATGAGGCGCTGGCGTTATGTTTATCCATTTATTAAAATATTTTAAGAAGCAATACTTTATTAACTTTGAGGACTGGTGTTCCATTTTGTGGGGGAAGAGAAGTAAGCACACTTTGTGGACCTTTTCTTTCTGCTTTTTCCTGTTATCTCATGACTACCCCATCTTCCTCCCCCAACCAGCCCCTGGCCCTTCTGCTTATTTGCAGGGACCTCGGAGAAAACAAAAAAATACAGAACAGAAAACAACAATGGATTACAGATTAGCAGACAAATAGACAAATGCAATTCCACAAACTATATAGCCAATCAAGGTTCCTTATAGGATGAAATGATTCTAATGGGTTTGGTTACCTCTTGTGAAACTAAGATTATTCTACTTGTGTTCTCAGGGAAGATGATATTGACCCCAACTGTTTCTTCTGGTCATCCTTTAATCTAGTTTATTAAAATGACAATTTTTTCTTACTCTTCCATGCCCTGTTGGACACATCACAGGGCCTTTTTGGAGAGGGAACTGTTAGTTGCTGACCTCCTATACTATTGACACCAGAAGCAGTTGGTGGCAGTTCAAATCTATTGGCTTTTCCTTCCCCACTGTTCTGGCTGGGAATTGCCCACCCAATCAATACCTCAGGAAGTGTTACCAAAGAGGTAACCAAACCCCCGAGCTTTGGCTCTTAATGGTGTCTCTGAACATAATAGAGATGGATATTTGGTGTCTGGTCCCACCACCCAAGCAATTCTATTACTGCGAGTAGTTAATGAAATCTGGAAAGGAGGTTATGCTCCCAGCGCTTAAGACAACTCCCTTGAGAGATGGATCACTTCTCGCTCTGTTTCCAAGCAAATACATGCAAGAACAGGTGCTCAGCAAGCTTTCTTGCTTTCCAGGAAGCAACTGGTAACTTAGCAATTTAGGAGGTAGCCAAGCGATTTAGCAAGTCACACCTGTTCCTGGGCCTCATCATCTATCAACTCCACTCCATGAGCTGACTCTAGCCTCAAGTCCTGGTGGTTTCACTCAATATTATTCTGACGCAAGGTGGGTGAAAGGGGATCCAGATGGTACAACAGAGCAACAGCAGCATTAGTGTACAAAGACCTATAGTACTTCAGCAAAGTAAGCAGGAAAGATGGAGTCCTATTACAGTTACTGTCATCAGTGATAAAAATAATTACAAGACACAGCTCTGCTTAGTCACTGCCAAGATAAGTCTATCCCCTCCCTGGACTTCCTTCTGTTTCCTTAAATTTGCTCATTTGCAGATTTTCTCTTTCAGAAAAAGCTCTTCTGAGAAAAATGCAACTTGGTTCCCAACTCTGAGTGTGTGTGCAGGTGTTACTGCATTCAGCCATGGAGGAGCCAAGTTAGACTGCAATGGTGACCTTGCCGATTTGATCTAATCCCTCCTCCTGGGAAGAAAGAGTGATGCAGAGAAAGACAAAGACACAGCAACAGCACACTCCCCACATAAATAACGTACAATAACTTAACACATTCTGATGCTTAAATAAGTTTTAAATGTTTTCTGTCATCTTTTTCCATTGACTTTCTTCTATAGTTGTAGAGCTAGGACTTTTTTGTTTGTTTGGCAAAGCAATCAGACATTTGGGGACTATCCCCTTGATAGTATTTTTCCTCACCCCTGCAGAGGTGGAACACAGGTGGCTGGTTTAAGTGGGTCAAGCTGGTGGAGTTCCAGAGCTGAGAACCAGCACTTGGAGTCTGGATTGTGCACCTCAGTGAACCAGCCATCGGACTGAGTCAGGTAATTGAGCACGCTAGGTTTGTCTGAGAAGTGGGGAGAGGCCAATTTTCTGGTTTTCACTTTATAAATGGGAAGGGACACTTACCCTAAAGGTATGAGTTGAGGGTGGGGTAGGGATTCAAGGCAGATCAGAGAGAACTTCTCTGGGCACTGGGGTTTGATTAGATTTGCCTGAGTGGTAACAGGCATTTAAAAAAAAAGAGAGAGAGAGAGAGAATTTGAAGCAGTTTAAGTCTAGTTCATTTTTATGAGAAATTTGGAAGAACCATGGGGAAGTAGTGGCTTTTAGCCTTTGTTTCCCCAGGCCCATGTTCTTTCTGGTCACTCTGAATGCCCCCCCTATACTCAAGGGAAAGGGGCAAAATGGGAGATTTGAAGGTGATTTGGGGACTGACTCAACAGCCTGTCCAGAAGATACAGGCCAAGATGGAGCTTGTGGGGAAGGGCCTAGGCTGTGACTTGTCAGGCAGTCCCTAGTTCAGGCATCTAAGTCACAGAGCTCAAGGCCTGGTTGCCCCATATAGTCTTTTTACTAGGGAGAGGAACAGCACAGGTTGGGGCAGTTGCTGATGTAGAGTCCAGGACAAATAGAACAAAAAAGGCAGCATGCCAGCTTAGCTCCCTTCTCCAGGGCATTGGTGTTTTTGTTCCCCTTTCCATGGCCTGGCTCAGAATTTTAAGGGGGGCATCAGAATCAGCTGGGCTATAGGTAGATCCCAGCCACCTCTAAAACACTGAAAATGCACCAAAAGATTAGAAGCTCCACCAAGAACTAGGGCAGTTAGTAGAGGAGTATATATGTGTAGGGTAATGGGCGGATGAGGAAGGATTCCTGGGTTAGCACAATAAATTATATGGTCACTTAGAGGTTGAGATGTATTTCCAGTTCTTAAAAATATATATGTGTGTGTGTATCTATATATATATCTTTATGTTTCTATACATAATCTATACTGCAGCACAGCGGCAAACATTTAGTTTAAAAATCCAGCAAGAATGCAGGCAAACACTCCATGGAGTCATGCAGGCTAGAATCAAGGCAATAGGAGGAGAGCCTATAGGGTGAGTTCCAACCAATGGGCTCACCCAGCCACCAGAGCACCACCTGGATATGTGCAAAGACATACACGCACACATGGAAAAACACAAGGGTTTGCAGAGAGTGCACGCCAGTGAGTGAGTGTGTGGTTACCACATCTACAAGAAAAGGTTTCACATGGACATTATAACAGGCAAGTGGACAAGCCCCCAGGACCTAGTTCTCATTTTAATGAGCCAACTAGAAGGGATCTCCTGAAGTTGCAAGTTGCAGTTGGCAGGGATTGGGGGAGAAACACAACCAAGCCTGGCTGTCCTGCCCCCTCTCTTCATCTTCCTGAAAGTGTTTCTTTTATTCATTCATTCCGTAGCATCGTTTCTCTGCCAGTCAGAGAAAATCATTCCCAAACTCCCTGAAGAGGTGAACTCCGCTGAATCCTTTATAGATCCCAGGCCATTCATAAAGAGCTTATCCCAATAAATACTGTAGTTGCCGAAGATGCACAAAGAGGAGAACTGAACCAAACAACTTGGAACAAGAATCTTTGGCCAATGAGAAAATGTAAACCTCTAAGGAGACCAGATTGAGTCCAGGAAAACTGTATTAAAGAATTAGAAGGTCTTTCTTGGTGGTGCTCATGTTTGTTCTGAAATAATTTAATCTAGCCTGTATTGAGGTTTCAAGAATTTTTTAGTATAATTCTAAATGTTGTGAGTTCTCCTTCCAGCTTTCAAGGACTACAGTTGAGATCTTCATGGTGTTGGAGGATCATCATCTTTTGCTTCATCTTCACGATTTCTGCGATGCCACAAATTGCCTTCAGAGAAAATACAAGTATAGGAATAATGAGGATAGTACATTGCCAAATATGTGAACCTCAAAGAAAGCAAAGAGTCTGTTAGGAGACAGACTGGTTTATTCCTGTTGTACCAACCATCTCTGAACAATCAGAGGAAACCAGCTGACACCATGTGAACCAAACACAAATGGGATGAATGCTCAGAAAATGATAATCTATAGAAATGTTATTGACCCCATCAGAGTCTTCAGAAATACTCCCAAACACCATGTTCTCATAACTGACAGATTCTCAGGGAATCAAACCAGTTGGACCATTCCTGAGAGAATACAGCTTTGTCTAAGAAATTTTCTCTTGACATTTGTGCAAAATCTTAGTTCCTCGAAAACAAACCAAATTGCTAACCACCTTTCCTTTTTTCCCCATGTCCACTATTGCTATAACTCTCAAGTTTCCAGGTTGTCTAGGCCCCAGACTTAGGAGAGACCACGGACATCAGAATCAGCACAACTGACAACTGTAAGAACCTTTTGAGTCCCACTGACATATCAATAATGCTTAGGACCAATTCTGAAGAAGGAAGAGGTGGAACCAAAATTCAAACAATAAAACATATAGAAATTTTGCATTTCCAGGGATCTACTATAACAGATAGGTGGAAAAAAGATGTTTAGATAGGTCGTGGAATCTATTCCTGAACCTTAGGAATGAGTTAAGCAGAAAAATAACTGTCATGTTTACATTTTTCTTTTCAGTTGTATATATCATAGAAGACTGCACAGCAATTCTGCTTCTCAGGTTCTCCCCTTACCAGTGTCCATATCACTTTCTAACTCACACCTTGTCCAAGGTTGGCTCCAAGCTGGCTTCCCCCTCCATCATCATCATGCCTGTATATATTTCTAGTGAGGGCTTCAGGTCCCTTTGGTACCCAGGCTACCGGAAGTCTTCATGACTGCTATACATGTGTGGGAGACTTACCAATAAAACCCTGAATTCCATGGCCTGATTTAGGCTTGTCTTCATCTTCTAGCTTCTTCCTTCCCAATTTGGGGAACTTAACTTTCAATCTGAGGCTTCTACTGTCAGTATCCGAAGATTTTTCCTGGGAAACCACAGCAAAAGGAAGGTCAAAATGTTAGTTGCCTAACATTCAGAAATAATTCCTAGAGGCCTGGCAAGGTGGTAGACAAGGATGGCTGCAGAAAGCAGGCAGACCTGTTCTCTATTTAGGTATGAGAGACACCTCTAATCTCTGGTCACATACCCTAGGAAAGCAACTGATCTTTACCAAGAGCCTATTCTGTGACAGGTGCCTTGCTAGATACTTTAATAAATGCTTTCATATAAGCCTCAAAACAACCTTGCAAGGTGGCAATTATCATCCGTGTATTAGAAATGAGGAAAAAAGTGCTCAATATCACTAAGTATCAGGGAAATGCAAATCAAAACCACACTGAGATACCATCTCATGCTGGTTAGACTGGCCATTATCAAAAAGACAGAATAACAAATGCTGGTGAGGATGTAGAGAAAGGGGAACTCCTCTTCCCTGTTGGTGAGACTGTAAATTAGTGCAACCATTATGGAAAACAGTATGGAAGTTCCTCAAACAACTACAGATAGAACTGCCATATGATCCAGCAATCTTGCTGCTGGGTGTATACCCAAAGAAATGGAAATCAACATGTCAAAGGAATACCTGCACTCCCATGTTTATTGCAGCTGTATTTACAATAGCTAAGAGTTGGAACCAACCTAAATGTCCATTGACAGATGACTGGATAAGGAAAATGTGGTATATACACAATGGAATAGTACTCTGCCATAAAAAAAATGAAATTCTCCTATTTCCAGAAACATGGATGAACTTAGAGAAAATTATTTTAAGTGAAATAAGCCAGGTACAGAAAAAGAAATGCCACATGTCCTCACTCATAAGTAAGAACCGAAAAAACAAAAATAAAAAAAGAAAAACACAACAATCACAACAATTCCTTGAACTTTCAAAAGGAGAGAATGGAACTGAGGCCACCAGAGTGGGAAGTGGGGGAGGTTAGAGAGAAATCGGTAAAAGCCACAAAAAATGTTTACATTGTGTAATGATATAATAATAATAATAAAAAACCCCACAAGAAATAAGGAAGCAGATGCTCAGAGATGCTAAATATTTTACTTGAGGTAATGTGGCTGTGGATGGGAAAGGTGAGATTGCTAAGACCACTGTTAGCTCATATGGCACCTCAGTGTGAATTAGAGAAAAGCACCCCTTCCTTCAGACATATGGTTTGGTGACCCCCAATTCACCCCCTTGGCCAAATACCTGCCTATAGGGAAGACTGCCTCCCAGGCCACCTGCTTCCCTGTCTGGAATGCAAAGAGGGTTCTGTAAACTTGGTTCTTAATTATGAATATGAGTTCTCTGCTGTGCAGATCATGCAGGCTCTGTAATTCCAGTTCAGCATCCCAGTCTCTCGCTCCTGCTAAACTGAGCTTGTTTTAGTACTGGTATCAGTAAAGCATAATTCTGAGGCTAACTTTGTTGCCAGAAAATCAAGCCAAACATATTACAAGAAGTTTTGGGATTATCTTCCTTTCAGGATTACTTATACCTCCAATCTCCTCCATTAGGAGAAGAGTATAAACCTGTCCTCCTCCGCTTACCGCTCTAACTCCAACTTACTCTCTGTCCTCTAGTACTGCTCCTGGCCTTATACAATGGCCTTCAGAATTGCCTTTCAGGAGCAACCTCAAGGAAGAGCTCAGGACCTTCCCCTCAGCCAAAGCCTTGGGAAGCTTAATGAATAATTGACTCGCATTCTGCTTTTCCCCACCAAAGTGGATCGGAATCTTTTGTGGCATTAAGGTGGGCAAGTCTGGCGTCAAGTGAATGAGCAACATCTTCCTGGCTTGCTTTCAGTCGACTTTCCCCTTCTTCAGAGCCTCACTCTTCATCTCTATGGAAATAATGGGGCCCAGAAAAGAGATTATGTCCCAGGCCAGGCAGACTCACACACAAAAGTACTTCAAAAAGTTCATGGAAAGATTTGTATCATCTTTTAGTTCTATTTTTCCATGAACTTTTTTGAAGTTCCCTTGTATAAATTGGGACCTTGAAGCATGGACTGTGTTTGTCTCATTTCTGTCAATATCCAGCCCATCTTTCAACAGGAGCTTGGTGAGAAATAGCTAAACTGGATAATAATGGAAGGGGATGCAACAAGAGTATGCTTCATTCTCTGCCTAACAGTATGTTTGCCTACCCCAGAGGGCTACTGATAAAGAACAGGTAGGCCACAAAGGGCCTTGGGAAGTGCTTGGGTTATCAGCAAAGGCACATGAGGAAGTTGGTAACTTGTTTAAGATCTGAATTTGTATATGGCTTTTTCTTTGAAATGGTAGCCTGATTGTTGTCCTCGTCCAAACATGACCATATTGCTTGCTCACATGCATATAACTGGTGCATGGAGCCAGAAAGCAGGTATAATGAGTAGGGGGGCCAGGGATTCCAGCAGGTTGAAATAAGTGGTTCTATGGTGGGGAATTTTCAAGAAAAATCCTATGAGACCATAAAAGGAATAATTTACCTAGTGATAGATAGACATCTTTGGGTCATTTGGTTTATGAAATGGGATTACTTTTCAATCTTAGGAAAGCACTCGGGGTTGTCAAAAAACGACAGCATCCCTATAGCTATATAGTAGCCACCGCTGTCATGCTTGATTTTCTTTTAAGCCACATACCTACTAGGGGGAAGCACTGAGAGAGCCTGCTAACCTGTCAGAGGCGGAATAACAGGAAGCAGCAGGGAGAAGTGATATTTGGAAGATTTAACTGCCAGTATGGCCTGGGTATCAACCATTCAGAACAGATGGTGGCTGTAAACAACTGATACAGGTCTGTACCAGCTGCAGTTCAGTCCTGACAGCAGGTACTGAGCAGGGAGGGGGAATTTGCAGCCAGAAAAACAGAGAAAAAAAATCTTGTTTATTCTTTCTCCATCATCTCTTGCTACAGAGTGCATCTCCTTTCTGGTTATTTTCCTGCAGTCACCTAATTTTTCAACAAGTTTTCTGCCTTGTCCTGTCCAATTCTGATGAGGACATGGGGGGAAGAAGCTCCATTAAGTTAAAGCTGAAAGCCAACACTGGACTCCTGCTACATCGGTCACTGTGTTATCAGTGTCCTGGCCCACACTGGAAGGTAAAGCACCAAGGAGGAATCCCTCTTCCCCTTTATTTCCCAATCTTCAGGTTACACACCTCTGGAACAAGGAATGGATTCATCCAGTTGATCTCAGATAGCTTTTCAAACTCCTTATTCATGGCATCCAGGGTGATTTGTAGTGTGGCCTCATCCTCAGCATTTCTCAGCTGGTACAGACAGGAAAAAGAGTGAGTGTCCAATGCTTAGCACTCTTCCTTTGTAGATTCTTGCCCTCTCCCCCACTCCCAGTCCTTGCTAGTGGCCAAGAGACTACAAGGTGCCACCTTGTATTTCCTTTGTAGCCAGCTCTTTTCTTTCTCAATAGGGAGATCCAGGAAACAACCAGATGGTGGGGCTCTCCTTGGGGCTGAGCATGCTCATAGTTGGCAAACAGAAAGGCCTTTTGACCAGTATCAGTTAACACTGAGTTTTACCTCCTACAGCCTGGGGTCCAGGACAAGAGTCTGACTCTTGACCTCATGTCCCTGAAGACATTGCAATGACCCCCTAAATAACAGTTACCAAGTTTGGAGCACATACTGCATGCCAGACACTGTGCATACATAATCTCATTCCATCTTCCCAATATCCTTACTATTGTTCTCATGTCATAGGTGAGATAACAGACTCGAAGTTTAGCGCTCAAGATCACACAGCTGGCTAGACAGAATCCAGATCTATTTAACTCTGTAGCCTACTCTCTATGCAACACTGTCCCAGAAAGGATATGTGGGGTGGCCAGATGCTGGGAAGAGTCTTTATTACACACTTACTGTAATGTAAAGGCTGTTTTTTGAAGCAAAGAGATAGGGCTAAAGAGAGACTAGCTCAAATTTTCCCTTCCTGGCAAAGACAGTCTGCCTCCTCAGGCTGTGCTTTAGCTCCTAGCTAGTAACTCTGAGTAATTAAGAAGTGATTTCCAGATGGCTTGTCCTACAAGTTTAGGAAACAAAAGCTTAAGTACTGTCTAGTAACACCTAGCACCCACAGGATGAACTCTGTACAGTCCATGGGAGACTTAAAATGGATTCTTTTGGGACCATCTCCAACTCATCTCCAAGTTCTAGACCAGCAACATAGGTGAGATAGTTCATGTTCCAGTAAGTAGTGAACTGGGAGAACAGATGCACAGTAATATTTTCAGCCCTGTCATACTTACAGCCCACCTAACCTGGCCTCACCTCACCTCCCCAGCATGCACTGTACTTTCAATCTGGCACTTATGTGGCTTTTTGCTGTGCATGGACCACTTGCTGCTCCAGTCATAGGTACAGCCTTGCTAGCTGTCACAAATGTGTGGCAGGTGAATGGGCAGGGGATGGGGTGGGACGTTATGGCCAGTCAGGACGGGATATGAAGGAGAAACAAGTCGGTGCTGACAATCTCTTTTGCTTTACAACTGATGACTTAGGACAATACAGAGTGGCCCAGATACACAGGACATGTATGTGCCAAAAAAGGGAAATGGGAGTTACTCAGTGGGACTCGTTATAAACCTATATGCCTTTGCTAACACTGAGCTCCTACTGCCCTCCTTCTTCAAGGGGAGGAATAACACCCAAATAAAACAAGCCTTATCTCTATCCCACCTCTATGACATCCTTTCTGGAGATACATGTTCATTTTTAGTTAGCTGCTGCCTGGCCCCTGGCCTCATTTGGATGTGTGTATGTGTGTGTGTAGGTGTGTGGGTTGGGGGGTGTCTCATCAGGTTCTATGTGGTGGGATCCTTCTCAAGTATTGTTGTGTACTCAAGTTGGGTTCTTGTCTGGCACAAACCAATTTTCAGGCCACGAGCCTCAAGAAAGCTTGAGTGGCAATAACAGAACAAACTCTCATATTTCCTGCAGCCCAAACTGTCAAGGACATTGAATTCTGCCTATATATAGAAGGTACTTCTGTTACTCTTATCTAAGACTCTAGCTTGAGGGTCAGATGTTGGAGCAGCCTGGCTTGATTGCCTTAGCCACTCTGTCTCCTATGCAGTATGCCAATTAAATGTGCAAATGAAAAGGGGAATGGACGCACTTCTTGCAATATTAACTCAGAAGCCCCTCTTCAAATAAACTTTAATTAGATGAGAGGCAAGCACAGCACCTGCTTCAGGGCCTTGGCAGCCAACTCCAAAGTGAGGTGGTCATGATGAGTTACCTCATCAGAGCACAGTCCAAGTATGCCCATGGACTTTGCATTCTGAGAAACATGCAACTAATCTTGTAGCCAAGAAACAGAGCTTCAGTCCATTCTCCCTAGGACTAATAAAAGCTATTATCTATTAAGCTGCTACTATGTCCCAGGCTCTTCTAGAACTCCCACTCACAAGTTTGTTTAATCCTCACAACACCCTGGAGAAATAGTGACTACAATTCCTGTCTTGTAGATATGGAAACAGACCCAGATTGGTGAAATTACTTCACACAGCTAGTGTTACGTGTTGAACTGTGTCCCCATCCCCAGAAAGATATGTTGAAGTCTTAACCCCCAGTACCTCAGAATGTGACCTTATTTGGAAATAGGATCATTGCAGATGTAATTAGTTGTTAAGTTGAGGTCACAGTGGATAGAGTAGGCCCTAATTCAATATGACTGGTATCCTTACAAGAAGATGGCCATGTGAAGACAGACAGACACAGAGAGAACATCATGTGAAGACAGAGGATTGGAGTGATACATCTACAAGCCAAGGAACACCAAAGATTGCCAGCAAACCATCCGAAGCTAGGAAGAGACAAGGAAGTATTCCTGTATAGGTTTCAGAAGGAGAATAGCCCTGCTGACACGTTGATTTTGGACTTCAAGCTTCCAGAACTGTGAGACAATAAATTTCTGTTTTAAGTCACCTAAATGTTGGTACTTAGTTATGGCAGACTTAGGAAACTATTAAAGGTAGTAAGTGGCAGATTTGGGATTTGAGCCCAGAGCCCACAAATTTTCCCATTCTTCCACACTGCTTCCCACATGGTGAAAGAGGTATGTAGAAACTTGAGAGATACAGAGCAGCTAAAAAGAGCTCACCCTTTTCTACTGCAGCTGTATCAGGTAGGATGAGAACACCCTAATTTTGATCAGCCTGGTCTGGACTCAGGAAACATTTGCCAAAGGAGAGAGAGAGACTTTCTTTCTCTCTGTGGATTAGCATAACCTATGAAGTAACACAGTCAATGACAATCTTGAGTGACACAGCAGGAACTGCCAGGCAAGCACTTAGCCAAAATGCTCCCACATGTTTCCAGTGCCCTAGAACCAAGCACAGACTGTGACTACCTTCAGATGGAATACTTTGCCCTCCCATGCTCCAACCCCCTGCACTCACCAAGTTTTCATCCAGGAAAGCTTTGGTGTCATCGTAGAGCCCTTTAAGACTAAATGTAACATCTACTGCATCATCTCTGCTTAGAGTCTGAGAGGAGAAGGAAGGAAAAGAAAGGAAGGGAAAGGACAAAGATAGAGGAGTTGTTGGTTAGTAAGCATGCAGCTGGCTTCTCCGTGGGAAGATAAGAGCAGGCCAGTAGGACGTGGCTATAGACGAAAAAGTAATATTCAAAATATAGCACAATTAGTATGGCATGGGCACCAACCAATCAAAACTGATGCCAGCTGTCAACTACTGGTACAGCTGTATTGGTGTGTCCAACAAAGTGGTACAGCACAACTTGGCTTTTGGCATTATTGATTAGGTGCAGTGGGCATAGGAAGATAGGAAATATGCAAACCAGAGAGTAAATTTGAGGCCATTTATTGTCCTTAGTCTAAGACCACCTTTCTCATGACAAGTGGAGTTAGGCCCAACCATCTCTCTTTTTGAAACTCCAGGCCTTGAGCCCCAGGCCTTCTCCACCTAAGATCTGGCTTAAAATAAATTTCACATTTTAGCAGGCCCTGACACTATTGTATGTTTCACCTAGCACTAAAGTTACTTTTTAAAGCATCATTTAAATCTTCTGGCCCTGAGTAAAGCCATGGGATGGAACATTTACTATTAAGTGTCCTGATCTGGACCTTTCCCTCAAGAGGGAAACAACGCACCCTAGAGCTCCATAACAGGTGTCAATGACAGGTGTCACCTTATCAGATTATACAGGGATTCACCTGGGATGAGGAAGGGCCAAGGCCAAGTTTCTCTCCATTCATTGGCCATTTCTCCCCTGAGGCTGGTGTGGTAGATAGCTATCAGGGAAGTGGGCTAGCTCTCAGGCTGATGAAATCTGCTGAGAATCCCCCAGTAGTCACCCTGGACCTGTAACAAGTCAAGGAATGCCTACCTTCCCATCCACTCTATCCATCAATTTCCTGACATATCATTTGCCCAGTTTCTCCAGCCATCCTCTGGCTCACCTTCCTTCCCTTTCAGCCCCTTTTCTATCTGGTTTCACTCCTTTCCTTCATCCACCCCTTCCCCTCTTACCTCAATGGGAGTACAGGAAGCTGTGCCTGCTTCATTGCTATTATCTTGGCCATAAAATATATCATTCAGGATGTTGGCACTGGCATTCACAGAATCCATGAGGACAGACACATGCTGGTGGACCTTGCTCAGGTCATTAAGTCTGTAATAAAGCAAGGAAAGACATATGAGTCAGGAATTCTGAAGGACTTCTGGCCTGGGGTACTGGGGAGGGTTGAGATAGAGGTAGAAATGAAAGCCCTGGGTGCCCAACTTGGACTCTTTACTCCCTCCTGTTATTTCTGTTCGTTTCTAGGTAGTCACCTGTGCCAGAAAATGTTTCTATTCTTCTCTAGATATTTACTTTTGACCATCCTTGTCTTACCTGAAGTTAGATACTGGGAAGTTGGGGAGGGTGGGAGTCTAGAATAGAGGAGGGCAGGTGACTCTGGGAACTCCAAGGCCCTCCTGATATTTAAGGGCAAGGATAGACATTCTCAGTCCTGTTGGATCTGGGGCAGCAAAAGGAGATCAAAATTCATCTCTGGGCCTAATCAGAGATGTCCAAGCTGGCTTATTGCTGAGCACAAATATATTTCCTGCCTGCATTGTCAAGGTCCCAGTCAATCTTCAGAGCTCTAGGTGAGACTCCTGTCTGAGGCCAGGCTCCCCAGTGACTAACAGACACAAATTAGCTTCTTCGTCCTATCCTTTCTTGGGATTCCCATCCCTGTATCTAGGCCAGTCCACCTACCTGCTAATGAGATTTTCTGCTAGCTGAGCTAAGTGCTGCATCTGGACACACTCCTCATCGGAGAGGCTATCTTGAGATTCCTGGGAGGCTAACTGGGGTTGAAGAACAGCTTGAATTCCAGTATGCTTGCACTCCCACATTTTCATTGAGTTCTCAAAGCCCTGGAAATGAATACAGTGGCAGATCCTAATGATTGCTGTAGTTAAGAGGGCACAAGACAGTCTGTCTGTGAGTCTGACATTTGTGGGTAATGTGTGGGTACAGTGGGTAAAGGAGAAAGAGGGCCCCCCCCATCAATTCCCCTATATACCCATCTACACATCTATCTATTATTTTATTCAATGTCTCTTCTGTACTAGGCCCTTTTAGTTTTTGTTGTTGCCAGTATTCTGGGTTTTGGGATACTAGGCTTGAATCAGACAGATGTCTGCCTTCTAGAAGTTCCTAAATGAGATCATGATGACTGATAAGACAGTGGAGCACCTTTCATGCTCCCTTCTTTGCCAAATCTAGGTAATATGTTGTGAAGCAGTTAAGAGCCAGACATATCTAATTTAATTTTGAATCATGATTCTGTCCTTTACCAGTTACGTAACCCTTAGCAAATTATTTAACCTCTCTAGTCCTCATTTTCCTCATTTGAAAAATGGGAATAAGTGTATTCACCTCATAGGATTGTTGGAAGGACCCACATAAGAGAATATATGTAAAGTGCCCAGCACAAAGCAGGCAGTTTATAAACTGGACTTCCCCTCCCCTCTCTATTGCTGTTTCTATGGACTGTTCTCAGGTCAGAGTGGAAGATAGCTTCCAAGCACTGAACATATGATCAATAATGGCTCCTTTCTAAGCTTTAGAAGGTTTAGGTGAAGTGGGTGACATATGTGAACACAGCATTTTAGGGAACCTTAGAGGAACCTAAATACCACATTCAAAGCAGAATCTGTTGTTTTAAGAGCAGATTTTTCCATAACTGCCTGAGACCTTTAGCTCTCTGTGCAGTGGACAGAGGAGGATAACCTTGTCCAAAACCATGGGAGGGAGCTCCTTGTCTCACTCTTGGACAGTGGTTTACAAATGTCAGTATATATCAGAATGTTTTGAGGAGCTTGCTTACAAATACAGGTTCCTGGGAACTACCCATCCCCATTCTTTTTAGTGGGTCTGGTGTGGGACCCAGGAATGTGCATTTGTAATCAGCACCTCAGGTAATTCTGATGCAAAGGGTGTGCAGACATCTCTTTGAGGAATTCTGCTTGACTGAAAGTATTCAGTACCCAAGTAATAGCTGTGGATAAGGCAGTGTAGGAGCCCAAGACGATCCTTTCCCCTCTTACCCGATCTCTCATCAGCATCTGGGCAGCATTCTTGTACCTAATCTTGATAAGGCCTGGCCTCTGAACCCAGGCCTCCCCATCTACCTGTACTGGGATACCTTCTTCACCATCAATGGTTATCATCACCTCACGGCACTGCCAGAGAAGAGAAAGGAGAATGGGGGAGAAAATGAGGCAACTGCTGTAGATCAATCTGATAATCTCACAGTCATGGCCTGAATGTGTAGCTGAAGCAGCACTGGCAAGGATGTGAATCAGATTATCTCAGGGAGAAACACCTATTTTCTATGAACTTTTTGCTTCTTTGGTCCCTGCCATCTGTTTCCAGCCTCAGCTAGCACCTTGCTGCCCACCAGATAACCTGCTTCCTCCACCTTTGCACTCTTTTACCCAGCTAATTCCTAGGACTACCCCACATCCAGGGTTGCAGCCAGAAAACTCAGCCCTTTCATAGTGCCTACCCAGCCCGTGCCTACCTGGGCGATGCGATGATGATGTAGGTTGATGATACGGGACATTGCCATCTGCACAGAACCAAAGATTGCCACTACCTCCAGCTTCCCATCATCTATTGCAGGAGCCTCATATTCCTGAGGAAGAAGAACTATGTCACATCTCCCACCCTTGAGAAACCACACCTTGTCTATAATGAGCAGATGGGCTTTAAAGGCTCCTGGTGAGAATTTTTCTAGTGCACACAGAGGGAAAACTGCATTATTAAAAGGGAAAAAGATGGCCAGGAAACCAATATGGGAAAAGGGCACTGAGATTGCAACTCTTAGCCCCTTTTGAGATCAAAACTCTTAGCTGGTTCTCTCCTTGTCCAATCCAGCATCATAAATCCCCAAGGCCAGTCTTATTGGCTGAGGCCTTTTTGGTTGAGTTCAGAAGAAAGGGGTCATGGGTAGTTTCCCAGGGGATTTTACTGACAGACCCCCCCTTGGAGAAAAGAGCATGGCTTAGGTAACCTTTCAAGGATTTGTCAGGCCTGAGGATTGGCAAATTCAAAGCCCAGGCAACATCTACGAGGTCTTTGGTTGACTCTTGTACTCTGGGATGGTAATTGCCTTAAAAACGGTTCATACAGCTGCTGCTAATAAAGGTTCCGAGCCTACATTTTCTTCCCCCATTGTCCACTTTCCACTCATGTTAGCCCAACTCTCCTTTCTGAGAGACCTTAGAGGGGCCATGCCTTTCTCTCTCCCTCTTCCTTATTTCATACTTACTGTGGTTGCCGTGTTGCTTCCCCAGAAGTTGATACCTCCAGCATAGCTGGTAATGTTGAGCACTACAATGCCTTGCAGGTTTGGCAAGGAAATGACTTCTCCATCACACTGAAAGAAAAGGGTAGCTCTAGTTGACTGGCTCTTCAGGTACCAATGTGAAGGGACATTTACAGAGATGGGGAAAGGTTCTAAGTCTCTTCATGCTATCATTTTCTTATCCATAAAATGGAAATCTATCTTCATATCTTCCATGAACTGTGAATGAGGATCACGGAGTTAAGCTCAGGAAGAACCAAGGACATAGGGGAAAGTTGATTCCCAGGGCCATAAGATTTCCTTTCTCCATGCCTAGGAAGGACCACCCCCCTTTCCACTAACCTCCAGCTGCACTCGTTCTTCCAGTTTCCTGTAAGAGCGCTGCAGAAGTTCTTTGCTTCCCAAAAGGCCATACCACATCTTGTTCTTAAGGCGGCTACTAAAGGGAAATAAGGGAAGAGGAAGATAGTCAGAGGGTGAATAATACAAAGACAAATGGATGGGGAAAGATAGGAAGGGAAACCATCTTATTTCCCAAGTGCCTTCTAACAGAGAAGAGCCGTGCTGAGTGGTAACAGGATTCAAGAGGGGCTGCTAGAATAGTGTAAGTTGTATCCCCATGCAAACAGTTGCAAAAATGGGTTCACGGGTCTGTTTAAAGCCTTGGCATCCTATCAATGGGCAAATTTCCCACTTCTCTTTGCTGATAATATTGTTTCAGACTTGGAAGAAACAGGCTGTATTCAGAAAGCAATACTCATAAAAAGCTGTGAGCATAGCTGTCTGGTACACACCAACTACTCTGGCAGTGCCGCTCCAAGAGCACAAGATTTCAGCTGCTTGGAACCAATTTCATTTGAAACATCTGATTCTTAGACTGCAATTTCCTTGAAGCAGTGTCTTTTCTGGCAAAATAGAGGGCTTTTCCAAACACCAGACCCATATATTAAACACTTAATTCGGTGCCGTAGAACAGAGCTAAGATTAGTAGGGAGACTTTAGAGGAGGAGCCAGTGGAAAAAATATGAGACAGTCAAGGATATCAGGAGACTTGGAGTGGAGGTGGGAAGAACAGGGTCCTGGTGACCGTAGGATCTCTGATAAAAACAGGCAGGGAGTTTACAATCACTAGAAAGGCTGGATATAGTTTACTATGAGCTTTTAAAGTAGACACATCTTTGAAATGAGTAACCACAAGGAATGAGTTTTGAAATGTTAGAAGGCTGGCACAAAATTATTTGGATTCTGTTTGAAACCATAAGTCCTCTGGGCACTTTAGTTTTTCATCTATAAAAATTAGGATTATATAGAAATGCAAAACACCTAGAACAACCAAAACAATTCTGACAAAAGAACAAAGTTGAAGGACTTTCATCCCCCAATTAAAAAAATTACCATAAAGCTAGTTATTAAGACAGTGTCTTACTCATGTAGGATAGCCACATAGATCAACTGAACAGAAGTGAGAGTCTAGAAATAAACCCTTACATTTATGGTCAATTGATTTTCAACAAAGGTGCTAATACAATTCATTGGGGAAAGGGTAGCTTTTTTAAAAAATGGTGCTGGTGTAATTGAGTATTCATATGCAAAAATGGTGGACCCTTACTTCACACCATAACAAGAATTAACTCAAAGTGGATCATAGATTTAAATGTAAGAGCTAAAACAATACAAATTTTAGAAGAATACTTAGGAGAAAATGTTTTAAGACCTTGGGTTAGACAAAGATTTCTCAGGTATGGCACCAAAAGTGTAGTCCATAATAATATGAAAATTTCATAATGATATGAAAAAAATGATCAATTGGACCTCATAAAAATTCAAAATATTTATATTTCAAAGGATACCACTAAGAGAATGAAAAGACAAGCAACAGACCGGCAGAAAATATTTGCAGATCCCATACCCAATAAAGTACTTATTACTCAGCCCAGGCCTACTCTGAGAAAGATGTTTTAGTGGCAGTGGCAGGGGCGGGGTGGGAGTGGCATGCTTCTTTAACTTATAGTAAAAAGTTTCAATTTACAACAATAATTCTGAGGCTGCCTTAGTGTTTGTCTGCAGTACAACAGTACCAGAAACTTGCCAAGCAGGTTTGGGGTAAAACTGGATGGGGTAAAATCAATGGGTCCAAGGGAACGAGGTTAGGAACACCAAGAACAAAACAGACCCTATTGGGACCTGGTTAAGCTCTCACAGACAGAACAAAGATAGGCAATTTGCTAAATCAAGTCAATGTAATCTGTTCTCAATAATAGTAACACAGGTAGCTGTGTTTACACAGCAATCCACAGGTTTAGACTGTGAAGGGAGCTCCAAATTCAGGATGCCAGTGCAGTCATCATAGACCAGCCCAAGATCTGGGGCAAGCTGTCCCACTAGGCTAGTCTTGGGACTGAATCATTTTACTTCCAAAGGACCTCTTTCTTTCTGTTTCTTGTCTGAGACGTAGGGAATGTAGGAATACATATGTGTATCGTGGTTGTGTTTGCATGTAGGGAGAGGAGTTTCTTTTGCTTACTTGTATTGTCCTGGGTGTTCATCTCTTCTGGTGTTGAACTCCAGAGAAATTTTAGCATCCAGTCCAATTCCAAAGTAGTTGTTCATTACACATTTTTCTTTGAAGCGACTGAAATTAGCCAAAGAAGAGGACAGATATTGGTGCAGGAAAGAGGGCTGCTATCATTGGGCTGCAGACTTCATCTGCATGATGGAAAACCACTGAAGGAAGGCTCCTCCACCCTGGGCACCAACCATAATGTTTTTGAGAGGCACATGTAGATGTCCTACTGTGTTAACAACAAGCTTATTAGTTATAAGATAAGGTTCCCAGCCAGTTGAAAATCTTCAGTGGGATTGGCACTCATAATAAAGCAGCAAAATTCATGATCTTAGTTATCTTTGGCAGCTCAGATATGAGTGGCCCATATTTTCTCCACTTATAATAACGGGAAATACAATCACTGGCTTATTCCTATAAAGAACTTCTGAGTATCTCAGATATGAATTATGTTATGAGAATTAAGTATGCTACTGCTCTCAGTGATGTCTGATTCCTTCATAGTACTTTCATAGCAAAAGGTAAAGTGATCACACATCTAGGGGGAAAGACTGATAAAAGAAGATAGATATATACACACACAAAAAACGCCAAGCAGTCTTTTGAGTCTCCTGCATCCATCTAAGGTGTCAACATCAAAACCAGTGGTGTGCTAAAGCCAGTTTGTACCAGCTCATGTAAACTGATTACGCATATCTCTTTTCAACTCTGCATCCAATGGCATTATATCAGTAGCTTGAAATAGGCCACAGTGAGAGAGTTTACACCAGGAACAAATCTGTCCCCCCCACCCCCACCAATAGCACACTATTGATTAAAACTCGTTAGGTAGGGCTGACCGGTTAGCTCAGTTGGTTAGAGCACAGACTTGTAACACCAAGGTCTTGAGTTTGAATCCCCATACTAGTCAGGCCCCCCCCACCCCGACCGCAAAAAAAGAGACACATTAGGTCTCACATGAGAACTCAGATATAAACTTAAACCCACGGTAAAGGGGAGGGGAGTGGAAGTTGGAGATAGGAATAAGAATTTTTTTCTTAGATAAATTATTTAAGAAAATGTAAATGATTGCTAGCTGTGTCTTTCTTTTGAGAAACTGAAAATGGGTACAATTTAGCTATTTAATCATAGATAACTTTTTTATTCATTACTAAACTGTCCCTACATCTCTCACATAAGATTTGCCTTCCTCCACCACAGTGCAGAAATTGGAGTTTCTCTAACTGACGTCCAAACTGATCTTAATGGAACTCAAAATGAGTAAATGGGGCAGAACCTTGCCACTGGGAAGATTCTAAAGAGGTAGGACTGGTGAGACAGACGTCCTTAGATTTGCTACCTAGTCCCCTAATGACCACTTATTTTTTTAGTATCTTCAGCCATTTACTGTTACAGACAATAGTGGAAAAACAAGTCCTCTGAAATAACAATTAACATCTATTAAGTGTTTATGATAACAATAATAACTGCTAACACATGTAACACAACTACAGGTGTCAAGCACTGCTTAATGCAAGTACTTTTTATATATAAACTCAAATAATATAAGAACTCTACGTGGCAAGTTCTACAATTATCTCCATTTTACATGTGAGGAAACTGAGGCTCAGATTGGTTAAGTTACCTGCATATGTCATACAACTAGTAAGTAGAGTCAAGATTTGAGTCTGGATATCCTGTGATTGTGCTCTTAACCAGAGAAAGGAAGAAGCCATTAAAAGGTGATAGGGTTAAGTACTTACATAGTTTCAGATGTGAAATGTAAGTGTTCCAAGTTGAGGTTTTCTAGGTCCTCGCTTTTGAGAGAGGATATAGGAGACAAAGTGCCACCACGAGAACCTAGATGCAAAAGACATCACCTTCGTGTTTGTTAGATGCAAACAAAAAAGCCCTTTCCCGCTACATGTATTTCATCTTATTTTTATCTGTGGGGGCAGGGTCAAGCTCAATGACTTTCTCCTAGATAACATTCAAGGTTTTCATTCCAAAGAGGAATCCTCTTGGATGGATAGGGACTGCATGCTTGCTAGCAGTGAAAACAGCTTCAAATTTTGGATCTCATCAGGCCTTTTCAAAGTGCCTAATGGGTTTATTACTCTGGACACTGGCATGGGATCTTACAGTGTGAGGTTTCTGGGAAAGAAAGAGGTGTTTACTGCAGAGTAGAATTATGGCTAAAGGAAGACGCATAAAAAACATACTTATTCTTTGGGAACTAGATGACAGTGATGAGGCTAGAATAAGAGAGGAAGACAAAGATCCTTACGGTGTCTTGGGCTCATCCGGTCAATATCCTCTGAGTCATCTCCCAGGAACGAGGTTGAAGCAAAGTTTTTAACTGATATTGTCTGTCTGCTTTCCTCATCCAGAACTATAGAAAAAAATGGAAGGAAGAAAGGAAGGAAGGAAAGAAGGAGGGGAGGGAGGGAGGGACAGACAGAGGGAGGGAAGATTGGTTACATTCATTAAATATTTATTGAGCATCTATTTTGTTTAGTTAATGCTAGTCAGTATGTGGGTAGACGGTGGGCTCCCTTTTGACCATCACCTCTTCCCCATGATGCTGTATGTGGTCTTAGCTTTCTTACAGTGTTGCTGCCATGTCTTTTCATATCTGTACCCGAGCCTCCTCTGTTTTACTGTTTACACTTTTTTTGTCACCCAGTACATATGATTGTGAGCAAAAGCTTGGGGCAGGGGATGGGGGTAGCAGGGTGGGAAACCCTCTGCTCTTTACGTCCATTTTGTTAGTTCATTTACTCACATGACCTTTGTCCAGAATTTAGCCTCTAGGACCATGCCACTCTTTCACTGAAATGTCTCAGCCATACTCAGAACATTTGAGAAGTCTTCTTTCTTTTCATTGGCCTCTATGTTGTATAGCTCAGGTGCTAAGCCTATGCTAATGTTCTCAGATTCAATCCCTACCCTAGCAAGGGAGCCTTGCTCTATCCCATAGCTACAAGCTGCACCTCTAAATCTGACATATGTACTGATGGAGCAGACTCAGGGTCAGTTGTGACAGAGTTATGGTTACATCAGATTAATCTGCTCCCCACTACTTGGAAACTAATTATAAAAACAGAGGCAAACTGTTTAATTCTTCCACAGTGCAGAAGGGAGATTTCCTTTCTTTCTTGGAAACTTGGCTAAAGTTGTACCTGAAGTTACCAAGGTAGGGGGAGGTACCATGGCTAAGTCAAAGGCCAACCAAAGTGACTACCTTTCTGCATGGGACTTCTTCTTTTTTTTTTTTTTTTTTCCATTTTGTCTTTTTTCGTGTCCGGCAACGGATCGCAACCCTCAGCGTCGCGCCCGCACCGGACCGGGACCGGCAACGGGATCGCAACCCTCAGCGTCGCGCCCGCA